AGGAGGACCTTAAGGTCCATAAATAGCAACACCCTAGAGGTCCCGGGCCCTAAGAAGTTAGATTAGCCTCAACCAAGGCCAGGGCCTTTTCAACACTGGCTCCAGCCTGGTGGAACGCTCTGTCTCAAGAGACCAGGACCCTGCAGGATCTGATTTCTTTCCGCAGGGCCTGTAAGACAAAGTTGTTCCGCCTGGCCTTTGGCTTGGAGTCAATTCGATTCCCTCCCCCTCTTTTTTCTCCCCTTTCTCCTCCTGTGAAGAGGCTGCATCTTAATTTTTAAATGTTGTGTTTTAATCTTGTTTTTAAAGTTGTATTTTAATCAACTTGTTTTTATTATTGGTTGTTAGCCGCCCTGAGCCCGGTCTTGGCTGGGGAGGGCGGGGTACAAATAAAATTTATTATTATTATTATTATTATTATTATTATTATTATTACCAATGCCTACTAGCCACAATGTGTAAGAGTAACTAAGAAGGGGTAAATTTCCTTCATCAGCATCAATCACCCCATGTATGTGTGGGATGTAACATCACAAAAGCAGTCAAATGCAACATTTCCTGTTTTCCCTAGTAGACACACAGGGGGAATGTTGCCCCAGCCAGGAGGACTTCCTGTGTGTGATCAGGTGTGACCCTGGGAGACCCCATAAAAGGGCTAGTCACTCAGAGAAGAGGACGTTGCTGAATCTTGGGCGCCAGAAATGGAGGGAGTTGCGGCCCTGCAGGAATATGAGCCTTTGGATTTGACAAATGAACTTGGAAAAAAACAGATTTGGAAAGATAAAGTTTGGATCGGTTTGAAAATGGGGGGTTGGACTGACCCCCCTATGCAGGGATGTTTGGACTTTCCGAGTCTGGCAATGGGCCGTCAGATGTTTGGAGCTGTGGGGGCTCTCAATTTTGGAGGGAATCTGAAACATGTTTTCAAATACCACATGGAGTTTAGTCTGGTCTTTGGAAAAGGGGCTGATTTGTTGAAAAGGGTCAAAAACATTGCCAAGCTGGAGTTCCCACGAGTGGAAGGTGAATATGAAGAAGAGCTGCGGAAGGGACATGGAAGGGACTTAAGGGCCTCGGATATAAGGTTACCAGGTTAATGCGCTAGATCAATGGGATAAAAAGGACTGACAAAACCCGGGACCAGGAGGAAGGGACGCTGGATGAAGATTGGATTGTTCTTATTTCTTTCTTTTTTTTATCATTAGGATTGTTTTATAAATTTGATGATTGTTAGAAAAATGTTGAAATGAAATTACTTGGCTCTAGTAAAAATGTTTAAAGAATTAGGTAAGAATGTTATGGTTATGAGAAGTTGGTAAAAACAAGATTTAAGTTTTAAGCTTTAAGGTTTTCTATAAGATAAGATGAAAATAGATTAAGGTAATGTAATGACAGAATATTATGAATTATGGAAAGGATTTGCTGCGATAATTATTAATTAGGATACAAGAAAAGGGAGGAGGAGGAGGTCAAAGAAAGAAGGTAATGAAAGTTGAGGATTCGAGAATGATGGATTTATTTTTTCTTTTTTTTTCTGTTTGGTCTTTTTTTGTAATTTTTAAAAAAATTCAATAAATATCATTTAAAAAAATAAATAAATAAAAGGGCTAGTCACACAGCCATCTTCCTCGTTTGCCTTTTTTGCTCTTTTGCCACTTTGAGCTCTCTTTCTCTTTGTTATTTTGGCTTTGCGGCTTATCTTGGGTATTTCACAACTACACCCCCGGGCTAGGTAATCACTTCACAGATGTACCTTTCCCACTCCAGGTGTATCGTTTTCCCCACACACAGGCGTATCTCTCTGATCCCACCTCAAGCGTATAGATATCATCCTACCACTTGCCTACCACTTTTGTGGTGACAGGTAGTGTTGTTATCCTACCATGGGCGTATTTTATTTATCCCACCTCTGCCACCAATTTTGTGGCAATCACACACAGGGCCCCCGGACGTTTGACGGTCTATTGACCCTGTGCCACCACTGCGATTGCTTTTTCCGCTGCCACCACCCTGTTTCTCACGGGGACACATGGAGTCCAGACAGTTGTTAACATAAACAAATAATCAAGTTTATTTTTAAATGCAGGAACAAGCTTATGGTTACAGTTAATTTTTCTTGGCAGTTTCTTAATCTTAGTTTCTTACTGACCTATATGTCCTAACAACTTCAAACTGATTATTCCAACTGTCTATCTGACTCCACCTAACAATTCCTCTCACTCTCTCACAATACAACTCGACCAACCCACTGCCTATTCCTCCCTCTTCCTTCTCCAATTCCCAAACCTCAACTGACTTTCAAAACCTCCCACTCTAACTTTTACTCCTCCCTTGCATTCCCACTGGCCAATCACATCACACTCATTTAACCCTTTCCTTATGACCCACCTAGGAGGCAAACGCCACAACCATCTTGATGCTTTTGCTGTCTGCTGGATCTCAGCCAGCAGCACATGGGCTAACTCCTGACAAGAGGACGAACCCACACATTTCTCTGTATCTGCAACTACAAGGTAAAGCCTGACTTCAGGATCACACTGGGGACTGAACGTGAGCAAACCTTATCATTACTTTAGAAGAAGATTACTGTGTCATTATTATTTTAAGAGGGAAGAAAAGTGGATTTACCAGGAACAAGTCCAATCTGGACGAGCCAGACTGGATTGCTTAACTCAAGGGATTCTCACGTATCCAATCTTTTTTTCTTTTCTTTTTTATAAATGATATTTATTCCAGATTTAAAGTTCAAAAAAAGAAAAAGAAAAACCATACAAAATACAAAAAAAGCTTTAACCATAACAGAACAAAAGATAAACAAGTAAAAAAAGGAACAATAAGATAGAATAAAGAAGAAAACTTGACAAAAAATATGAAAATACATTAAGTTAAAATAAAACAAAAACAGATTAAACCTTTACATAACCTTTTCCCTTTACTTATTTCCATGACCTCCTCTCACCTCCCAGTTTTGTATTCTAGTTCAGATCGTGTTTCCAGCAAATCCTTCTAACCTTATTTTCATTTACATATTTTAAAATTAAAATAATGTGATTAGACCTCCTCTAATTCATCGATTTCATCAACTCATTTTTGCTTAGTCCATTATATCATATCTACCAGAACGACCTAATATTCTTTTTCCAACCTCCTTCTAACATTCTTTTATATTGCAGTACTTTTGAAGATATATTTTAAATTTTTTCCAATCTTCTTCCATCGACCCTTCTCCCTGGTCTCGAATTCTGCCGGTCATCTCAGCCAGTTCCATATAGTCCATCACTTTCATCTGCCATTCTTCTCGGGTGGGCAATTCTTGTGTCTTCTCACGTATCCAATCAATGAGCTTCCTGCAATATACAAGGGAATGTGCTCTGCTACGACCTCATTAGCGTGAGTGAGGAAGGATAATATTAATCAATATATCCTTTCCTACTGCCCTCAACATTCCCACGGAATGAGCTAATCCCAGGTGCAAGGTCAGCCAAGCCACTTGCTATGATAATGGCCCAGTGTCACAACTATATCTGTGATTAATACTTGTCAGCTCAGTAATGTCTGTCAGTTCGTCTGCCTGTTGGTTAGCCTGTTGGTGTTACTTGTTTGGTATTAAGACTTGAATTGCTGAACTTATTTAGAGAAACAGAGATATTTTATACTTGTATGTATCTGTACATATCCATTCTTAAGGAAATCAGCCCTGAGTGCTCACTGGAAGGACAGATCCTGAAGCTGAGGCTCCAAGACTTTGGCCACCTCAGGAGAAGAGAAGACTCCCTGGAAAAGACCCTGATGTTGGGAAAGATGGAGGGCACAAGGAGAAGGGGACGACAGAGGACGAGATGGTGGGACAGTGATCTCGAAGCTACCAGCATGAGTTTGACAGAACTGCGGGATGCAGTGGAAGACAGGAGTGCCTGGCATGCTCTGGTCCATGGGGTCACGAAGAGGTGGACACGACTAAACAACAACAACAACAACAATCTGTATATATCTATCTGCAAAAGCCTACCTATCTGTTTTTCTGAGCTTTGTCTTCTTTCCCTGCCTCTGTGTGGTGACTGGTAAAGGTAAAGGGACCCCTGACTGTTAGGCCGCAGACAACTCTGGGGTTGCGGCACTCATCTCACTTTACTGGCCGAGGGAGCCGGCGTACAGCTTCCGGTTCATGTGGCCAGCATGACTAAGCCGCTTCTGGCGAACCAGAGCAGCGCACAGAAACGCCGTTTACCTTCCTGCCGGAGTGGTACCTATTTATCTACTTGCACTTTGACGTGCTTTCGAACTGCTAGGTTGGCAGGAGCTTGGACCGAGCAACGGGAGCTCACCCCGTCATGGGGATTCGAACCGCCGACCTTCTAATTGGCAAGCCTTAGGCTCTGTGGTTTAGACCACAGCACCACCCGCGTCCTGTGGTGACTGGTGCTGGGAGCAATTTCCACTATGTGAGGATCTCACCTGAGATTTCCAGCACAATGGCTATGCTCTGACCACACGGTCGGAGGCAATGATGCTTCTGAATACCCGTTGCTGTGAGAGTCTTGCTCTTGTGCCCGAATCCTGCTTGCGGGCTTCCCACTGGGGCATCTGGTTAGCCACTGTAAGAACAGGATGCCGGACTAGATGGGCCTGTGGCCTGATCCAGAAGGCTACTCTTTTGTTCTGCCCTTGGACTAGGCTAAGACCACCTTCGGCTCTGCATTTCTCTGGTCTAGATGATCCTTCGGGTCCCTTCCAACTTTGCAATTCTATAATTCTTTCTCAAACTCTCAAAATCTTCCACGCGGGTTTGCGGACCCTGCACTGGTGTTGGTCTGTACAGTGCAGGACTCTAATTGAACCCAGGTGATTGGTTGCTGCTTCTTGGTTGCTTAGCACCAGGCATAAGGCCCGCCTCCCTCTGCTCCAGCCTGCTCAAGCTATGGGACCAGTTGATCACCTGTTGATCATTTGCAAAAGAAAGCTGAGACCCACAGCAAGACCTGGCATAGATTTTGGGGGAAATGAAGCACCTTCTCCAATACACGGGCTGCTTCTTGGCCTTCTTCTCTGCCGGCTTCCTGATTGCTGCCACTTGGACAGACTGTTGGATGGTGAACACGGACGACTCCTTGGAGGTAAGGCAAAAAGAGAGGGAGAGGGAGACTCCAGCGGCCACAAGGCTGGCTCAGCTCCATCAGGTGCAGCTTTCCAGAGCAAGGAGGAGTGGCGGTGAGTGTGGGAGCAGAATGTATGGGTCTGGTTTCTGCAAGGACTTTGGACTGCGTCTTCCTTAGAATGAAAAAGAGAGAGTTTGCAGGAAGGTGGGAGAACCATAGCATTGTAGAGTTGGAAGTGGCCATGAGGGTCATCTAGTTCAACTCCCTGCAGTGCCGGAATCTTTTACCCAATGTAGGACTTGAAGCCAAGACTCTGGAGACTGAGCTATCCCCAGAAAACGTGAGAGGTCAGTATGGAATGCTTTAGGTTTTTGACCAGCAATGCTGTTTTCCTGTGATCTTCCTGCTAAGGTAGTTTCTTAACCAGGTTGTGAGAACTTTGCCATCCCTTTAAAAGTTGTTAAGCTCTGTATATAAGCAGAACACCCCATCAATCAGCTCAGAAGGGAGTCTGGCTGGTGGGAGTCTTCAAGGTCACCCAGTGAGTTTAGCAACCGAGCAGAGATTTGAACCCTGGTCTCCCAGGTCCTAGTCTTGACACGCTAACCACTCCCACTTTTAATCTGTTAAAATAGCACCCCTAATTCATCAGTGTGATTTGTAAGAAGGGACGGGGGCTATAGCCCAGTGGGCAGGGAGCCTGATTCACATGTAGAAGATCCCATTTTCAATCCCCAGCAAACTATTCCAGGCAGGGCTGAGAAAAACAGACCAGTGCTGTGATTTGGGATAAGGCAAGTCCCTAATAAACTCCCTAATAAACATAATAATCAACACCATCAACATCAACAACTTCCTAATAAACATTAGCAAACAACAACAACAACAACAAAACCTGTTTGAACAGATGGGAAATGGCAAGGAAATGCAAATGCAGTGGGAAATTCACATAGGAAGCTGCCTTATTTTATTACGTATTATGATTGTCATGCAATGCCCTTTTAAAATGTGCTGGGGAGGTTCTTGGGTTGCTTTCATTTTCATTTTATGTATTTTGTATTTTTATGTTGTAATTTTATCCTGTGAACTGCCCTGGGACCTGAATGTTTATAGGGTGGTATACAAATTTAATAAACAAACAAATAATAATAGAAATATTTTTGTGTTTTTAGCTTAGATTTTATGTTGTGAACCACCCTGAGGTCATACAAATTTAACAACAGCAACAAACTCCTGCACTGGAGGGTTGGGCCAGATGACCTTTGGGGGTCCCTTCCAAGTCCACACCTCTATGATTCCAGCTTATCCTACGCTGGCTGGCAGCAGCTGTCCAGAGTGTCAGGAAGGGAGCCTCTCCCAGTCCCACCGGACTGAACCCGGGGCCTTCTGCATGCAAGGCAGCTTCTCTGCCACCCGGTTACTGAAAGACTGCTGGGTCGCTTAGTGGGTGTCCTCTGGGCAATGTCACCCCTGACTGCCAAGGGAACCCAGAAATGGCAACTTTCGCAAGCTGCTTCTCTCTAGACTTAGGGGAAACTGGGAAATCCAACACAGTGAACAGCAAAGGGGTTTCGTGTTTTTTTAACCTTGCCTCCGCGGTTCAAAGGCACCTCCAGTTGGACCACGTCCCCTCCTCTCCTCCTCGGTGTTTCATTAATGCGCCCTCGGGGTTAAGCGCATTCAGGCTTTGCACGTCCCGGCGCTGCGTCTGAATACCAACGCGCTCAGCGAAGGGCCTGCGGCATTAATACCTGACAGAATGAGTTGATCTCGCCACCTAAGCGGGTCATTGCATCCCTAAATATGGGGACGGGGGGGGGGTAATGAGCCGTGTTCCCTGGAAAGGAGCCGGCGTCGGATCAGGGCGGCCAGACGCTGGCTCAGCAAGCAGTACAGAGGAAGGGCTTTGCGCGAAGGAAAGAAGGAAGGAGATACAAAGAGGAAGGAAGAGAAGGAGAAAGGGGGGGGGGAGAGAGAAAGGAAAGCAGTGAAGAGAAAAGGAGAGAGAGAGGAAGGAAGGAAGGAAAGAAGGAAGGAGAGAGAGAGAGAGAGAGAGGAAAGCAGGGAAGAGAAAAGGAGAGAGAGAGAGAGGAAGGAAGGAAAGAAGAAAAGGAAAAAGAGAGGGAGGAAGGGAGGGAGGGAAGAAAGAAAGAAAGAAAGAAAGAAAGAAAGAAAGGAAGGAAGGAAGGAAGGAAGGAAGGAAGGAAGGAAGAGGGGCTCCAGACAAGGCTATCCGCCCAGATCACTTTTCTTTCTTCCCACCCCCAAATTTGCATGTTTCCAAGATTTTGGGAAATCCCCCCCCAGTTTCAGCGCTTGGGGTGAATTTCAGCGCCTGGCTTTAGGTTGCAAAACCAAACTGGTTTTAGGTGACTCTTTTCCATGAACCCTCAGTAGCCCTGAGATTGTTTTCCCAGCTGAAATGCGTGCAGCCTCCATCCTAGGGTTGGGGGCCTTTAGAGGGGGAAGGTAACAATGTTTTGAGAGTTTTAGAAATAAAATGTGAGCGAGGGGGAGGGTATGACAGAGGTGTATAAAATTATGCAAGGCAAAGGGGAAAAGAGAGGTTGTTGTTTAGTCGGTTAGTCGTGTCCAACTCTTCGTGACCCCCTGGACCAGAGCACGCCAGGCACTTCTGTCTTCTGCTGCCTCCCGCAGTTTCGTCGAACTCATGCTGGTAGCTTCGAGAACACTGCCCCACCATCTCGTCCTCTGTCGTCTTCTCCTTGTGCCCTCCATCTGTTGCCTTTCCGGCAACACCTCCTTGTGGAATGACAAGCCTTTTATATTGTTCAGAATCCAGACCCCAAGCCTGTTCCTCTCCCTTCCCAGAACAGCGTCCAGTGTCCTGTGTGCTCTTCCCACGCCTGCTCTTCCACTGGCCTCTGCCAGTGATGGAATTTAGGGCAGGGTCTCAACTGGAGTTTTTCCTTTGTAGTGGGTCTGCTCCCTGGCTGTGTGGTAAACATCATGGCAGGAAGAGGGTAGGGCAGCTCTCTCTCTCTCTCTCTCTCTCTCTCTCTCTCTCTCTCTCTCAACACCAGTGCCCTGTGGTGGCAACTTAAGGACAATTGCATTTATCCATTCTCTTAGAACCTCTTCCATCATCACCCCACACAACACACTATAGTGTCTATCTGTGTGTTTCTTAGGAACTGCATGTGTTTTTGTGCAAAGTTATTGATAGTATAATGCACTTTACATATGCTCATGTTATTTTTTTAAAAAAATATATTTAAAAATATGTAAGCTATAGCCAAAGGTTGACAATGGAACAAATTATCTAAAGGGATTGTGGCCTCCCCCGCACTAGGCAGGCCATATATTGGGGGTGTTTTTGCTCTGGATTTCCTGCATCATTGAGTGGGAGGGTTGGGCAATAGGGACATCTCATTCTCTAGCCTATGCTTTTATTATACATATTCCTTGGCTGGATAAGGGCATTGCAAAATTCAGAGTAGTGCGAATTTCAAAGGACGGCTGTGTTCCAGTTCTTGTGTTAGTTTAGAAAGTGGAAATTAATTTTTGCTGTTGTTTAGTCATTTAGTCGTGTCTGACTCTTTGTGACCCCCTGGACCAGAGCACGCCAGGCACTCCTGTCTTCCACTGCCTCCCACAGTTTTGTCAAACTCATGCTGGTCACTTCAAGAACACTGTCCCACCATCTCGGCCTCTGTCGTCCCCTTCTCCTTGTGCCCTCCATCTTTCCCAACATCAGGGTCTTTTCCAGGGAGTCTTCTCTTCTCATGAGGTGGCCAAAGGATTGGAGGCTCATCTTCAGGATCTGTCCTTCCAGTGAGCACTCAGGGCTGATTTCCTTCAGAATGGAGAGGCTTGATCTTCTTGCAGTCCATGGGACTCTCAAGAGTCTCCTCCAGCACCATAATTCAAAAGCATCCATTCTTCGGCAATCAGCCTTCTTTATGGTCCAGCTCTCACTTCCATACTCGGATTTAAATAGAAACACAATCCATCTCTGGCAGCTTCAAGGCTGTCACTTCGGTTGCTGCTGCTTCCTCTTTGGACCAGACCAGAAGATCGGCAGCTGCTGCCTATTGAGTCAGGCCATTGGTCCACCCAGATCTGTAGTGTCTACCCAGGCTGGCAGAGGCACTCCTGGATGTCAGGCACGGAGCTTCCTCCAGCCCTACCTGAAGATGTACCTGGGACCTTCTGCTCACCCCATTTTAAGTGTGCTGTTCTGTTTTTAATCTCCGCATTTTAACATATCTGTGTTTTTGTATTGCTTTAATTCTGTTAGAGTTTAATTGCTTTACAACTTACTATTTTCCCCAGGCTTTTAGCCTTCTGCATTTTCCCTTGTGTGGTTTTTAATTTGTGTCAGCTGCCTTGAGTCCCACTGTGGGGAAATGGCAGGATATTATCCCAAACTATAGCTCTGGGATAACACAGCCCTTCACATAGAGGACTCATTCACAGAAGGAACCATCCTCTGTTGACTGGGGCACACAGAATAACAGAATGGTCAAGAGCTGGAAGGGTTCCCCAAAGGTCATGTAGCCCAACCCGGTTGCAAGGCCACTCTAACTGAAACTGTAGGCTCCTTGGGGCAGGTCCTTGTAATAATAAGGATGATGGTCACTTTCTCCCACGTAGCTGAGCGCTACCTGCCGCGGCCTTTGGTGGGAATGCGTCACCAATGCCTTTGACGGGATAACAACCTGCGATGAATATGACTCCATATTGGCCGAGCACCCAGGTACGTCTGCTGCGAGTTTTTATTATTATTATTACTGGATCAATTCTGAAGGAAACAGGTCTTAGAGAAAGCATTTACTGGGACAGGTCACCATAAGCTGAAAAACTTGGGGTTTTTTTGTTTTATTGTTTATTTTCTTTTATTGTTTGTTTTATTTGGTTTTCACTTTAATAATATCAAAATCACGTATAATTCATCATATAAACAGCTGTATAAACACAAAACACATTTAGTTGAGTTACATGCTGTTCACTTCTCTGGAATCGTTATGCTGATGTCATAATGATCTGAAACTTTATTTATTTATTTATTGCATTTAAATATCACATTCTCCCTCTCTAAGGAGCTCCCTCTCCCACCCTCCTCCTTTAGTCCCTACAACAACCCTGTGAGGTAGGTCAGTCTGGAGGCAGCGACTGAGCTCAAGGTCACCCAGTGAGCTTTATGGCCAGGGAGGGATTCGAACCCTGGTCTCCCAGGTCCTACTCTGACATGCTAACCACTGCACCACACCAGAGTCCCTCCCTTCTGCCTCCAGGCTCTTTCTTGTTTTGCAGTGAAACTGGTCCTGACCCGAGCGATGCTCATCACGGCTGACATCCTGGCTGGCTTCGGGTTCACCTTCCTCCTCCTAGGCCTGGACTGTGTGAAATTCCTCACGGACGAACCTGGAATCAAAACCCAAATTTGCTTCATAGCTGGACTGGCTCTGCTAACGGGAGGTAGTTGGCCGCAGAAAGCTGGGACCTGGGTCGGGTGGGGCTGGGAGATAGAAGGAGTTTAAACTTAAAATGTTAAAATGATAATAATGCTCAATTTACGATGGGCCGGAAGGTCCACAGGCTATGAAGGACTTGCTCACAAATTTATTGACAGCTGCACAAATTATTATAGCCAGGAAGTGGAAGGGGCAAGCAGAATATAAAATGGAAGAATGGTATAAAGAGGTGTGGAATATAGCTATTAGTGATAAATTAACATGTGCCATTAAGGTAAGACAGGGAATATGCAGGAGAAATGATTTTGAGGAGTTACGGAGGATGTTTGTAGAATTTGTGCTGTTAAAGGGGAAAAGGTTAAATACCATCACAAGAGGTGTTGAAATTTGGAGAGGTTGGAGAGGTACAATGGGATGGTCTCGGTGGTGGGTTGCACATTTTTATTCTTATTTATATATGATTATTACATTGTCAAAATAAAAAAGGGATAAACTATGGGAAAGAAAAAGAAGAAGAAATAGGTTAAAGTTCACCTCAACTTTCTAAGCAGGCAGTTCCAGAGTGTAGGTGTTGCCACACTCAACAACTGAGCTTCTACAAGTTTGGAATGGGGATTATGTGACACCCGCAACCTTGGCCATAGCCAACGTGGGGCAGATCTACAAAAATTAGTGAAAAGCATTTAAAATACTCAATTAACTGAGGTTCTGCCCCCCACAAAGCCTGCCCTCCGTAATGTCCTACTTTGGGGGGTATTTTTACCTGTGATTTCCCCAAAAACTTTGGCTGCCCCTCCCTAACAAAAATCCTGGCTACACCCAGGCTTGCAATAGTGTCAATTCTGCTAATTGAAATGTTCAGTCTGGTCTCAGGTTCAGTGGTACCTCGGTTTAAGAACAGTCCTGCTTACGAACTATTCATTATAAGAACTCTGCAAAACCGGAAGTAATGTTCCAGTTTGCGAACTATAAAAAGTAAAGGGTAAAGGGACCCCTGACCATCAGGTCCAGCCATGGCCGACTCTGGGGTTGTGGCACTCATCTCGCTTTATTGGCTGAGGGAGCCGGCGTACAGCTTCTGGGTCATGTGGCCAGCAGGACTAAGCCGCTTCTGGCAAACCAGAGCAGCGCAGGGAAACGCCGTTTACCTTCCCGCCGGAGCGGTACCTATTGATCTACTTGCACTTTGACGTCCTTTCAAACTGCTAGGTTGGCAGGAGCAGGGACTGAGCAACAGGAGCTCACCCCGTTGCGAGGATTCGAACTGCCAACCTTCTGATCAGCAAGTCCTAGGCTCCGTGGTTTAACCCACAGCGCCACCCATGTCCCTTGCAAACTTTGCCTCGGTCTAAGAACGGAATCCAAATGGTTGAAGGGCACCAGCAGCGGAAGGACGCATTAGGGAAAGCGCTTCTCGGTTTAAGAACGGCTTTGGTTTAAGAATGGACTTCCGGAATGGATTAAGTTCGTAAACCGAGGTACCACTGTTATTGTATTGTCCCATGCCACCCCAATCTCCAGGAGTGAGAGACTCCGGGGGTTTGAGGCACTCACCCAGGGATCCGTTTCCTTGGAATGAAGGTCAGTAGAGACAGTGGTTTCTTCAGCTTATATGGTTTTATTTACACATATTGAGCACATCTACACAACGACATTAGCACCCCAACAGATCTCGCTTCTGTTGGTCGCAGCTTTTGATCCAGCACAGAGCAAGCAGGTCTCTGTATCTCCAGCTTCCAACCTGCTTTCAGCTCGGCTCAGATACACCACAGCTCTGGCTATTGTCTTCCTACTGAGCAGCTAATAATAATAATAATAATAATAATAATAATAATAATTTATTTATACCCTGCCCATCTTGCTGGGTATAACAAAACACTAAAATACAATAACCTATTAAACATTAAAAGCTTCCCTAAGCAGGGCTGCCTTCAGATGTATTCTAAAAGTTTGGTAGTTATTTTTCTGTTTGACATCTGATGGAAGGGCGTTCCACAGGGCGGGTCCCACGATCAAGAAGGCCCCTGCCTGGCTCCCTGTAACTTTGCTTCTCGCAGGGAGGGAACCGCCAGAAGGCCGTCGGAGCTGGACCTCAGTGTCTGGGCAGAACAATGCTCCTTCAGGTCTACTGGGCCGAGGCCGTTTAGGGCTTTCAAGGTTAGCACCAACACTTTGAATTGTGCTTGGAAACATACTAAGCTAAGAGAAGAGGGTGGAGGAAAGCCGACACCCCTTAGCTTGGAAGCCTCCCTGACTTAGTTGCAGCTCTTGCAACCTGGCTCCATCTTTTGGTGTACTGGTGAGGACACTTAAATGGCCAGCTAAAAAGAAACTTGTCTGACCAGTTCAGCAACAGAATCCTCCATTAGATTCTAAGCCTCACTGGGTAGAGCAGGCATAGGCAAACTCAGCCCTCCAGATGTTTGGGGACTACAGTACCCATCATCCCTGACCATTGGTCCTGTTAGCTAGGGATCATGGGAGTTGTAGTCCCAAAACATCTGGAGGGTCAAGTTTGCCTATGCCCGGGGTAGAGGAACCAAGCACATCATCCAGACCAGTGTCGGATTTACGTATAAGCTAAACAAGCTCTAGCTTAGGACTCCACTCTCTTAGGGGCCCCAAAAAGTTTAAAGGGAAAAAACCGGGATGTACATTTCCAGACTATAAGATAAAAAACTAATAAAATAAAACCTATATCCAGCAACAGTGTTTTGTGTTGTGTAGGCTCCTATGATGTAAGTCATGGGCCCCGTCTGCTCGCGTGCTCCTTAAAATATCAGTGGTTTGCTCATATATATATATATATATATATATATATATATATATATATACACATACATATATGTATATATATGTATGTATATATATGATGCAGGTGGCGCTGTGGGTTAAACCACAGAGCCTAGGACTTATCAATCAGAAGGTCGGTGGTTCAAATCCCCGTGATGGGGTGAGCTCCTGTTGTTTGGTCCCTGTTCCTGCCCACCTAGCAGTTCGAAAGCACGCCAGTGCAAGTAGATAAATAGGTACTGCTCTGGCGGGAAGGTAAATGGCGTTTCCATGCACTGCTCTGGTTCACCAGAAGTGGCTTAGTCCTGCTGGCCACATGACCCGGAAGCTGTACGCCGGCTCCCTTGGCCAATAAAGCGAGATGAGCTCCGCAACCCCAGAGTCGGCCACGACTGGACCTAATGATCAGGGGTCCCTTTACCTTTATATATAGGGTGCCTACATTCTGCATGGACTGGTTGCACGGCAACATGTGCAAATGGCTTGAAATACCTATGAGGTCCATCAATTACAATATAGCATATATTCAACAACAAAAAACAGTGACAATTTGTTGTTGACAAAGGACAGCTGGAAATATAAAGGACCCCATTACCTTCACGAGCTGAGGGCCTCATCAAACCTAAATCCGGCCCTGATCCACACTGACCCGTGCAAACACACACGAGTTCTTTAGTCACATGGACAGAGAGAAGGGTTTTCTTTGACCCAGGCCACAGGAGTCAGCAATGGGACCTCATTTCAGCACTGTGGATCAGACCTTGAAAAGTGACGCACTGACCCATAACCATGTGCAGAGTGCAACTTGAACAATTGTGTCCCACCTCCATTTTTCCGGGAGCAGGCCAAACATCCTCCAGGTCCGGCATAATGTGGGGCAATGGTCAGAGTGATGCCCAGACATGCCGGGGGGGGGCGCTGCACCCTTCAGTGCTGAAAACCTCCCCCAAGAAAACCGCGGCCCCCACACCGGGCATTGCGCCTCCCCGTTCTGGAGTGTGGGCTGTTTGCAGGCTGCGTTTCTGCTACCATTCCAAATTCAGAGCATGCAGTGGTGAATGAAACCCCCCAGGGGTACGAATTAAGCAGAGGATTTTACCTTTCACAGAGCTGCAGGGATTAAACGGAAGCCCTCCTGGGTCGGAGGTTGCGGGTGCAGCCGTGCCAAAGAATTCAAATTCCACACGAGGCAAAGCTGGAATCTGTGACCCAGATAAATTATGCAAACGAACCACCTTTGCAGAAACTTTCCTGTCTTTTTTTTGGGGGGGGGGGGGGAATCAGCATCCTGCCCATCATACTGTTCTATAGAATTTCATCTGGCATTTCCTAGATGCTTTTCCTAATCTCTTCAAAGCCACATAATCTAGAAACTTGTCCTTTTCTCCTCCCTCCCTCTCTCTCTCTCTCTCGGTGCCGGATGACTTCTGCACTCACTGCCATGTATTCTGGGGTTCTGTTGCTCCTGTCATTTAGTTTAATGCATTTTAAGAGACCATGTAGCCAGAGTGGCTGGGGCAACCCAGATGGGTGCAGTACAAAAATAAATATTAAATTATTATTATGATTACAGGGGTGAGGGGAATGTCCTGCCCATGCAAATAAAACCTTGCTTTGCAGATATCCACACTGCAGGGTGGGCTAGGTATTGTGGATGACAAATTCAAGGTTACTTTAGCCCTGTGAATTCTGTACCAGCTGAAGTTTCTGAGCCGTCACACGTATAACGCATTGCAGTAATCTAACCTTCAGGTTACCAGAGTGTAGAGAACAGTAGTTAGGCTCTCCCTGTCCAGATAGGGACGTAGATGGGCCACCAGCCAAAGCTGGTGAAAGTCACTCCAGGCCACTGAGGCCACCTGAGCCTTGAGCGACAGCAAAGGATCCAGGAGGACCCCCCAGCTAAGAACCTGTTCCTTCAGAGGAAACGTAACCCATCAAGAGCAGGAGATCTCCCACACATCTGATCTAGGGAACCACATAGTAAGGGAAGTGCAAGTTGATTGTAGCATCATCATTGGGATAAATAATTTCTTTCTTACACGGAGAGGCAGAGATTGGAGAATTTTGTGGGGCTGGTTGTTGCTAATGGTATAAACACATTCATGTCAAAGACACAATTTCCTTTTGCTCAAAACACAGGGAAGGGTGTCTATTTGACCTGTAGACAAGGCATTTCTGAAGTTAATAATAATAAACAAGCACAACAGATGCTCTTTAGCCTCCTCCTCTTCCTTCTTCTTGTTCTTCTTCCTGCTTGCTTTTTCACAAATCTGCAGGCAGGCACCTCTCATTTTCAGTGTCCAAGACCCCAGAGGAGGGTCACCTGTGGATCAGCAGAGGATAATATCCCAAACCTGGCAGTTAACATCTGGTGCTTGCTCTGTTTCTTGCAGGGGTCCCTGGGCTCATTGGATCCGTCTGGTACGCCATCGGCGTCTACGTGGAGCGCTCGACTTTGGTTTTGCATAACGTCTTTGTGGGCATCCAGTACAAATTTGGGTGGTCCTGCTGGCTGGGGCTGAGCGGGTCTCTGGGCTGCTTCTTATCTGGCTCCTTGCTAACCTGCTGCATGTATCTCTTCAGAGGTAAGAGCTGGGGGTGGAGGAGTCTGCCATGCAAAATGTTCTAGGCCGTCCCAAATCACACCTCTGTGCCTTCAAGTCACTGTTCCCTAAAATGTGCCCATAAAATGCTCGCCTTGTCTGGAATCCTGGAGATGTTGTCATTGTGGACCAAGTCATTGTTGTCATTGTGTCCAAGTCATTGTGGACAAGACTGAGCTAGATGTTCTGGCTCAGAATAAGGCTGCTTCTCCTGTTCCTGAGTTTAGTGAATAGATCATCTACTGTATCTCTCCCCACCACCTGGCCCAGCTTCCAGTTTCCCCCTAAGAGGCCTGGATATTCTGAATTCCAGCAAGCAGCTAGAATCAAAAGGATGAAGACTGATGCAGCGATGCATTGCTGGGAGTTGTCCAGATGGCCTTTGGGGGTCCTGTCCAACCCTACAATTCTATGACCTCGGAAGATGGTGGCTTCTCCTTCACTGGAGGTTTTTAAGCAGAGGTTGGATAACCATCCAGCAGTAGAAGCATCAAATTGCAGAGCCGGAAGGGACCCCAAGGATCTTCTATTCCAACTCTCACAATGCAGCTAAAGCATCCCTGACAGGAGGCCATTCAACCTCTGCTTAAAAACCTCCAAGGAAGGGGAGCCTATCACTTTCTGAGGGAGTCCGTTCCACTGTCAAACAGCTCTTAGCATCAGAAAATTATTCCTGATGTTTAGTTGGGCTCTCATTTCTTGTAACTTGAATCCATTGGTTTGGGTCCTACCTCTTGTCACTTTTTTCCAGGGTGATGAGGAACCATTAGTGAGCACTTGTGGTGGTGGTGGTGGTGGTGGTTTGTTTTTGTGTGTTTGTGTGTGTGTATTTCCGTTCTACAATTTACAGTACTCATTCTACATCCTTAAGATATCAAGGACTTCCCTTCTTCTCTTTCCATGGTTCATTTTACATACCTTAAATCCTTGCATGTTTTACAAAAATCAGTATTCCATTATTGCATCCATCAGAACTAATTTACCCTGTTGAATTTATCTTAATGCTGTCAGCATTTTCAGCTGCACACAACTATTTCCCATGTAGTCAAGAAACGTTTGGGTTACAGGTAGATAGCCGTGTTGGTCTGCCGTGGTTGAAACAAAACAAAACAAAACAAAACAAAACAAAATAATTTTAAAAATCCTTCCAGTAGCCTAAGGTGCTACTGGAAGAATTTTTTTTATTTTGTTTTGTTTTGTTTTATTTCGTCTTTGGGTTTGGTCAGTCAACCAGCTATCAGTAACTTTGCCCATCTACATTTTACCAGCTTCTCTGCAAGAATGTCATGGGACACATTGTCAAAAACCTTCCTGAAATCAAGATACACTGTTGGGGATCCTTCAGCTGTGATTCCTGTATAGCAGGGGGCTGGACTAGATGGCCTTTGAGGTTCCCTTCCACTTGTGCAATTCTACAGCGATTCCCGCCCCCCCTTCTAACCAGCAGTGTTTTGTGTGTGTTTCTCTCCCTTTCCGGGGCTCTGGGCTACAGATGTTGGTGCAAGCAGTTCGTTGAGGAAGACTTATTCCCCTCCTGGGATGAGCAGCCTGTGCCGTCCAGCCTCCCAGACAACTACTGCCAAAATGTACGCCATGGACACCAGAGTGTGAGGAAGAGGAGAGCCTGAGAGGACTTGGCTCACCTCCTTTGTGACTTATGGGGCTGCCCCAGATGCCAAAAAGAAGAAGAAGAGTTTGGATTTGATATCCCGCCTTTCACTCCCTTTAAGGAGTCTCAAAGCGGCTCACAATCTCCTTTCCCTTCCTCCCCCACAACAAACACTCTGTGAGGTGAGTGGGGCTGAGAGACTGCAGAGAAGTGTGACTGGCCCAAGGTCACCCAGCAGCTGCATGTGGAGGAGCGGAGACTCAAACCCGGTTCCCCAGATTACGAGACTACCGCTCTTAACCACTACACCACACTGGCTCTCAGTGCAAAGGGTCTCCAGAGGCTGTGATTCAGCCCCAAGGACTTTGGCTGTTTCCACCAACCATGTTCAGGACAATCTCCCATCCCTAACAAATGTCTGTTAGTTTGTTTTGAGAATCGTGCCCATGGTGAATGCAGCGGGTCCTGGGAAACACCCATAATTTAACCCGAGTGGTCAAATGGCAGGGGGTTGGACTAGATGACCCGCTGGCCCCCTTCCAATGATTCCATAGCCCAAGAAATGTGGCTGTTTGATGCAGCCTTGGCAGTGCGTCCCATCAGCTGACTTCAGGGCTCCCCTTCTGCACCACACCCTCTCCTGCTTGTGGGGGTCTGAATGTGCATGGCACTCATGGACCAGATGCCATCCCCAGGGCCAGATTTAGATCAAGAGCGGCCCTCGGCTACTCCACTTGTGAGGCCCCTCCCAATCCCCCACCCTCACAACTAGAAGAAAATGGAAGAGTCTGGCCCAGACAGGTAAACATGTAGAGAAGAGTCTCATGAACAAAACTGAGTGAAGCCAAGGATAGTGATGAATATTTAAAATTCTGCAGTTCACAATTTCTCCTCTAAAGGACATCAGAAAACATCGTCAAAATTTGTTTAAGTTTGTCGCTTTCAATGTACAGAAAGCTCAGTGCGGACAACCTCTCTTGAGACATCGTGGCTCTTAATTCGTTTTTAATTCTTTTGAGTCTTGGAAAACTCCTCTCTCCTGAGCAGTTAGTGACCATAAGGCTAAGAAATAGCCGCAAGATTGCTTCCACATTAGGAAAGGCCATCTGAATTTTTCCTTGATCAAGGTTTGTATGAGACAGAGAGGGCTCTGCTGTAAGCCTATGGCTTTGTCTCACGTACAGGTTGCAAAGTGCAAAGAGTTCTTCAGCCAATTAGCCTATACATAAATTGGGCACTGGCCATCCCACAGGCGCAGGGAAGTTTTCTCTTCTGGAAAGCAGGACAACAGCAGCACAACACGCAGAATTGGTGGCATGTAATGAGGGACGTTTGGGGAGCAATTCTTAGGAATTAATGCTGCTTTTGGGATTGCCTGAGTCCCTACTTGCCTGCTATTTCCCCTGCCTGTATATGTGTAAATAAACAGATATAACAAACCACTACAAGTCTCCAGCATACTTTGTCCTCCTCCTTCTCCTAATTCTTTGAAACAGACCCCCCACAACTGCAGTCCCCAATCTTTTGGGGACCCCCACCCACCCCTTGGTTCCATAAACACCCCCCGATGCCCTCTAAAAAGCATTATTCAGAACAGTGGTCTGCATGACTGTTATGTAGTGAGTTGAATAGGCTTCTGAATGCAGCAGTCTGATTGGTCCGCAGGAGCCATCCAATCCAACTCCAGGTGGAAGTGAATCCGCAACCTGATTGGCCTACAGGAGAATCCTGGAATTAGCCAATTACGTGGAGCCCATTGTGTAAATAATGTATAAAAAGCAGACATTTCAGGGAAAATTCCATTCCTCACTACTATGAGCTGAATAAAGAGCATGAAATCTGCACTCGACTCAGAGTACAGTGGTACCTCGGGTTACATACGCTTCAGGTTACACACTCCGCTAGCCCAGAAATAGTGTTTCAGGTTAAGAGCTTTGCTTCAGGATAAGAACAGGAATTGTGCTCCGGCAGTGTGGTGGCAGCAGGAGACCCCATTAGCTAAAGTGGTGCTTCAGGTTAAGAGCAGTTTCAGGTTAAGAACGGACCTCCGGAACGAATTAAGTACTTAACCCGAGGTACCACTGTATATTTCAATGACCCACTAAGGAAGATAATGTTAAAAAAGTTGCACACACACAAACACTCAATCTCTGTATAGCAGTGCATGAGACTCCGGAGGGTTCTAACCGCTCACCCAGGGGCATGTTTACGTTGAGATTTGAGACATAGAGGAGGCTGCAGTGTCCTTAAGAATTATGGTTTAATGGGACATATTTGCCGTGAGTTGAGATGAAGGAGCTGCAGATTTTACCACATTGTCATCCCAAAAGCAGCTTGCTCCACGCAGCAGGTCAGCATTGCAGATAGAGCCATTCTAAGTTCCCCAGCCAGCTCTAATAGCTGCCCCCCTCAAACTCCTTGTCCTTCTTCTCTGCCATGTAGCTCCTCCCCTTTGGTCTCAGTCATTCCAAGACATGGACCTGGAAAGCCCAAATGTGAAGAAAAGGTCAGTGTTGATAAGCCCAAAGTTGATATGCTTGGTGGAAAGAGCTTATCCTTTCTCTCCTTTCTGGTCACGGAGCGGTGGGGGGTGGGAGACACACTGAAAGGCTGTTTCCTTTTTATTTGCAAAACAGAGAGTTACTTCCAACAGGACGATTTCAGACCCTCCAAGTGTCCCTATTTCCCAGGGACATCCCTGATTTAGAAAAGTCATCTCGGTTTCTGACCCCAGAATGTCCCGCTTGTCCTTCGGACGTCCCTATTTTGACTGGAGAAATGTTGGAGGGTATGGAGTTGTCTGACTCCTCAAGCCATCTGAAGGCAATCCTGTACAGTGGTACCTCGGGTTACATACGCTTCAGGTTACAGACTCCGCTAACCCAGAAATATTACCTCGGGTTAAGAACTTTGCTTCAGGATGAGAACAGAAATCGTGCTCTGGTGGTGCGGCAGCAGCAGGAGGCCCCATTAGCTAAAGTGGTGCTTCAGGTTAAGAACAGTTTCAGGTTAAGAAAGGACCTCCGGAACGAATTAAGTACGGTACTTAACCCAAGGTACCAATGTATAGGGAATGAGGTTTTTTTAAAAAAAAGGTTTAAGGTTTTATTATGTTTCTGTATAAGTTGGAAGCTGCCCAGAGTGGCGGGGGCAACCCATTCAGATGTGCGGGATATAAACAGTAAAGTAATCATTATGGAATGGGACGTCCCTGTTTCTCATTGAAGAAATGTTGGAGGGTATGTGATTTCCTTGCACAGACAGGGCCCCCAGAAAACAGCCTGGCCCAACTAGCTGCTGTGGACACCTGAAAGGGAGTCTCTCTAGCCAGTTTTCAGCAGCCTCACCTGGTCAAGGAAGTTAAAGCATCCCAGGAGCAAAGCCAAGAGTGGATGAGCTTTGCCATCTCTCTCCTTTCCAGATTTTCCCAGTCCACAGTGGAGGCCCTTACAATTTTCCCTACCTCCCTGATGCTCCACAAGCCCCATCACTTCAACGCCTTTTTCTGTCATTTCTGCTGGAAATACAAAGCTGGCACTGCCCAGGATGAGGCCTGCTTGATCTCTCACCTGCCAACCGCTGACAGTTCCCTCCTTTCATCTGAAAGCAAAATCAAATCGGCTTCTTGCACGGGAATAAAATAACAGCACTTCCCAAGCAGAGAAAATGTCTGAAGCTCTGACTCCTCGTCTCTGCCCATAGAAAATTCATTTGACGCTATAGAAACGCAGCATGAAAATCAGGGAACGGAAATCCTCAAAAGCCATTTTGGCAAAACGCATTAGTTCGTCCAACTGATGAAATGACGCTGGCAGAAAGAGGTGGCAGGATTCCAGCTGCCCCCAACCTGTCGCTATGCGGCATGCATCAAATTTGTTATTAGAAGATGGTAGCAGACTATCTAGTCCATGGGTAGGCAAACTAAGGCCCGCCCAGGGGCCGGATCCGGCCCAATCGCCTTCTCAATCCAGCCCACGGACAGTCCGGGAATCAGTGTGTTTTTACATGAGTAGAATGTGTCCTTTTATTTAAACTGCATCTCTGGGTTATTTGTGGGGCATAGGAATTCGTTCATATATTTTTTTCAAAATATAGTCCAGCCCCCCACAAGGTCTGAGGACCAGCCACTTGGTTTTTGTCTACCTCATAGCAAATCGTCACAACTTTCTGGGTATTGGAGGTTAGGCATTGGTATTGCTCTGTAGGTGGAAGAGGGGAGGAAGCGCCATCACCTGTCCCTCATATTGAAGGGTAGTCCGGTAAAGGATTCTGGGGGGCGTGGCTTGTCTGAAGCCTGGGGAGGTGAGGGCCTAAGCCACGCCCCCTAGCGGTGACCCCAGGGAAGTTCCTAGTTGATGTGCATCAGCAGGACTCCCCCTACTGGTGGTTAACCCTTCCCGGACTTCAAGCGGACGGGCTGAAGTTGGATATTGTCGGTTAGGACCAATGCCTAAGCCAATATCACTCATCACCTGTAACCAATAAAGTTGTGGCCTTATTTAGCCCATTAACCTTAATAATTGTGTCTTTATTTCCACTGGGGGGGGGGGACTCGCCACGCAAGAGCATCTAAGGCAGGAATGAGGGATGTTTCCCCCCTCCCAGTTAAGAACTGCATTTCTTCCTAGGTAGTAAGAATATAAAAAGAGCCTGCTAGATTAGACCAGCCAGTGAGAGCCCTCGCGTCCTCCATGAATTTGTCTTCATCTTCCTTTCAAAGCCATCCAAGTTGGTGAGCATCCTTGCCTCCTGTGGCAGCAGGTTCCACAGTTCAACTATGTGCTGTGCCAACATTAGCTTTGGTGAACTAAGCCACGGCTTAGCACGATGTGTGAACCAGACGTCTGAGAATGAAAGAACTTAAGGAAAGCCTGCTGGATCAGGCCCGTGGCTCACCTGGCCCAGCATCCTGTTCTCATGGTGGCCAAAAGGGATACCCAAAAGGGAGACCTGCAAGTAGGATCCGAGTGCGAGAGCCCTCTCCCTTCCAGTGGTTTCCAGCAACCGGGATTCAGAAAC